TTTTTTCATGTGTGGAGTACTTGCGTCAAGTTTCACTTAATTTTCACTAAAATAAGTGATCATAAGTTCATTCTGACTCAAAATGATGTCAAAACCCACATTCTACATCTAAAATAAAATAAAATTGTGTAGCGCCAATATTAGAACAGTGGTTATTGATTGCTTAATCTTTGGGAGTTTGACCACCAAAATTATGCATCCATCTTGCGCGGTTTGGACTCTAGTAAAGGAGTGTATAATCAAGAATTCTAATATCTAATATCTTATTTTAGCTATATGGAAAACACAACACCTCCTAAGAGGTCGATCAACATCACGTTGATGGGGGCCAATACAGATTATCTTTAATCAAAGCGATGGTTTCCTCTCGTCTAAAGTGTCTGGCCAATCCTCCTTTGAATACATTCAGATAAAATATATTTTATAGAGAGTATCGTGGTTCACCCATTCTATTGTGAAAAAATATATGCTCATCTTAAATGAAGTGATAGTCTTCCTCTCGTCATAAGTGATTTCTTTCCAAATTATAGGTCCTTGGAAGAAATGTATTTTATAGTCTAGAAACTATTGACCTTATATTGGGGCCTACTAAGAAGAGAATTTTGGTGATAGGATGTTGGCAATCTTGATTTGAATGCTCGATTTATGTTTCATGATATACTTGAAGGAAGTGGAAAAAATTTAGCTCACTTAGTGTGCCTACTTTTAACTTTACTTTGATCATGTAGATTTGTAGTATTTCATGATCCGAATAGAGAATAATGTCATCTGATAGTTTATAATGGTTTCAATGTTTTTCAACACAAATTATACTATTGAATATTTTTTCATGTGTGGAGTACTTGCGTCAAGTTTCACTTAATTTTCACTAAAATAAGTGATCATAAGTTCATTCTGACTCAAAATGATGTCAAAACCCACATTCTACATCAAAAATAAAATGAAATTGTGTGGCGCCAATATTAGAGCAATGGTTATTGATTGCTTAATCTTTGGGAGTTTGACCACTAAATTTATACATCCATCTTGGCCTGTTTGGACTCTAGTAAAGGAGCGTATAATCACGAATTCTAATATCTTATTTTAGCTATATGGCAAACAAAACACCTTCTACAACACGTCCTAAGAAGTCGATCAACATCACGCTGATGGAGGCCAATACAAATTATCTTGAATCAAAGCGATGGTCTCCTCTCGTCTGAAGTGTGGCCATTCCTCCTTTGAATAAATTCATCCTTTGAATAAATTCAGATAAAATTTATTTCATAGAGAGCATCGTGGTTTACACATTCTATTGTGAAAAAGTATATGCTCATCTTAAATGAAGTGATATGCTTCCTCTCGACATAAGTGATTTCTTTCCAAATTATAGGTCCTTGGAAGAAATGTATTTTATAGTCTGGAAACTGTTGACCTTATTTGCAATGCTTATTTGCAATGCTTATTTGCAAGCTCACCAAATATATTTAGTCCTATACTCTAAATCAACATTGCTTCTAGAAACAATAGCTTGCTTCTCCATTTAGCCAGGTTTTCTCATACATAGAAGCAATAACTCGTGGTGTACCTTCTATCAATGAATTTTCCGTACTCAATTTGCTTCAGTGTAGACTTCTACCACTCTGTTTCCGGTTCTCTAAAAAATTAATTCATACCGAGGAGTCTTCTTGAGAAGCCTCAGAATCATGTACACCATCTCTAAATGTTCTTCATTTGGGTTATTCATATGTTGGCTCGCAATGCTGACAAATTATATAATCTCTGGCCTCATAAGTGACAATTACATGAGTTTTTCTACAAATCTTTGATATCTTCTCTTATTCATAGATATATTTTATTTTCTCCTCTATTAAACTTTTTGTTAGGATTCATTGGAGTATCATTAGATCTAAAAATATCTCATAGTTCCTAGGTCCATCTTATTCATAGATCTAAAAATGCCTTTCGTGGACCTTGCTATCTTTATAGTTAGAAAATATCTCATAGTTCCTAGGTCCTTGATTTCAAACTCAGTGATAAACACTTCTTTGATCTTGAGAATTTTCATTTCATCATCACAGTCAAATCATAACATCTGCATATACTATAAGTGCAATAACTTTCCCTCGCTGAGTGTGTTTTATGAACAAAGTACGTAAGAATATCCATTAAATCTCATTATTTTTGCAAACCTTTCAAAACACATTCTTGGTGATTGCTTAAGTCCATAAAGAGACTTCCGAATTTGCATACTAGGTGTTTGTTGGAATTATTCTTCATATTCCTGTCGGTATCTCCATATACAATTCTTCTTCCAGATTCTCGTTTAGGAAGACATTTTTATGTTAAGTTGATGCATTCTCCATATTTTGTTCACTGCTACTGAATGAAGAACTCTGATAGTGTCTAGTTTGACAATTGGTGCGAAGGTCTCCTGATAGTCAATCATATAGGCTTGTGCGAAACATTTTTGCAGCAAGGCTTGCTTCTCTTAATACTCCTATCAACTTTGTATTTGATATTGAACATCCATTTGCATCAAACCAATTTCTTTTCCTGAGGGAGTTTAGTAATAAACTTTGTGTCATTATGCTTCAGTGCTTGAATCTTCTCTTCAACTACTTTCCACCATTTTGGATTTTCAAGGCTTCATGGATGGATTTAGAAATCCACACACTATCATTACTAGAAATAAAAGCTTTATAGGATGATGATAGCTTCCCGTATGCTACATACCATTGAATTAAATATCTAATGGAGCTTTTCTTCTCACCAACATCCGAAGATGATGGGGATAACTCAAGAGTACTAGATTCCTCCTGACCCAAAATTTCAAGTGGATGCAAACTTGTGTTTTGGTTTGAACAGTTTTGTTCTTGCAAGTTATTTTCCGTCCGCTCAAGATTTTTCTTTCTTTTTGTGTACACACGAAGTTCTTTGTTATGGACTTCAAGCTGGGTTGGTTGGATATCCTTAACTAGGATAGGAGGGCTGGTTGGAGTAGGTAGTGAAGCCGTGTAGGTGTCATTAAATGCATCTCAAATATATTGCTCATTTGCACTCTCCCTCAACATCAAATTTGACATATTAGGATTGATTTTCAAAAAATGTGACATTCATGGAGCTGTAGTATTTTCAGGTGAGATGAGAGTAATAGTTATTCTCTTTTTTGTTAGAGGCATACCCAAGAAAAATACACTTGATAGATTTAGAGTCAAGTTTTGTGTGATTTTGATAATAAATGTGAACAAAGAACACACCAAAATAATTTATGCAGCATAATATACGAGAAAGCTCTGAAGTGAGGATAGATAACCATCAAATATGAAGAGGTGTTTTGAAATACGCAGTTAGACATTCGATTGATAAGGTATGTTGCGATAAAAAACAGTTTCCCCAAACAATGTTTTGGTGATGAGAAATCTTAATTGAGCGGGAATACTTCAAGAAGATGTATGTTCTTTCTCTCAGCAATCCCATTTTGTTGTGGATATTAGAACATGAACTCACAGCGATGATTCTAGTTTTTGAATGAAATGACTAATGATAGAATTAATATTTCTTTGTATTATCAGTTTTGAGCATATAAATTTTGAATTGAAATTAAGTTTGCATCTTGTCATGAAACTTTTAAAAGATTTGGGTTGTTTCAGATGTCTGCTTCATTAGGAATATCCAAGTAGTTTTAGTGTAGTCATTTAATAAATGAGACAAATCATCTCGCCTCACTGTAGCTTCTCCTCGCCAGTTGCAAAGAACTTAAAGCTAACTGTTCTATAAAATTTTCTCGTGCTCTCCAATGTCCCTTCCTCATTCCTTTTTTTTAATTTTTTTATTTTTCAAATTTTCACACTTTTCCTCTCGCCATAAAAAAAAAAAAAAAAATCTCCCGGAGCTGTTTCTGTTTCGGAATATTTACATTCACTCAATTCCAATGTATTTACTTATATAAGACCTAAACTTAAAATTTTTTTACATACTTTCCACCTTATCTATGCATTCAAGTGTGTATTTCTCTTTCTTTAAGTTAAAATAGTGGTATTTTTGGTGTGGTATGAAAGATTTGAGTGATATAAATGTAAAAAAGCAACATTTAGATGTTAGATGTGTAAATACACAAGAATTGGCGGTATGCATGCAAAGGCCCCTTATATTTTTTTCATTAGCCGCGCGAATACTAGTATTTGAACTTAAGGGCTTGCATTTGCACTGGTTGTTATGATAAAGAACTTAATGCTGTTGGTCTTTTTGCCCGAGAGAGAATTTCTTATTGTTTCTTGGAGAGAGTATGTCATTTGGTCAGCTTTTTACGCCATGTGTATGCAAGATTTTGACGAATTGGAGATGTTCTTAATGACACAAAAATAACAGCAGTATGATCAGTGTTACCATTTTGATTCTTAAATGCTAGTGCAATTTTTAATTATGGTAATGACATTTAATATATGAATCTTATATTTACAAAACAAGCATCCAACTACCTTCCCTTTTATAATAATACCAGATAAATTAAAACAAAATTCCAACTTCCAATCGTAATTTTTCGCATTCATTAAATTCTCAATGAATCCGCACGGCGTGCACAAATAAATATATTTGTCAACTTTTTATTTTATTTTATTTTTTTTTGGTAGGGTGGTAGATATATAAATAATAAAGCGCATTTTACATACATATCATGCAATTTTTATGTATTTACATATCTAGCGCCTAAACATTCATATTGACATACATACCACTCAAATCATTAACATCGCAAAAAAAATATCACAATCAGTTGAAATACATCTTTTCATGCATAGATTATTGGCACAAAATATCTTAAGTGCAAATATTAAACTTTGGGAGCTTGATGTAAATACATAAGAGTTGTGTGATATGTAGGTAAATTTCCCATGATATTGTTGTTTATTATTAACCTATTAATTGATCAGTGTGTGTCCTTTTCTGATTCATAAATGTGCTGTTATATTATATATCTTTGAAATGTAAAATTATTTGTTGCCCTGCTACTGATCCAGGTATGTTCAGCATTACAAGGAGAAGGAGAAGCTTGCGCACAGGTATTAAATCTGAAGTCTTACAGAAGATGCTGAATATGGATTGCAGTATCTGAATCAGCGTATATGTTTTTTCCTGCATAAATATTGAGACCTTTTTTAAATAAATTAGATTAATAACTGCATTTTGCTGCACTGATGGGAGTATTTGTTTAATTATTTTAGTAATAATTACCGACATAATTGAATGTGATGGATCTTCCTATTATGTTTTTGGGTCATTTACATGCATACCACACAATTCTTATACATTTTTACACGCCTGACACCCAATTTTGATATTTACATTCAAAGATATAATATAAAAATATCACCATTACTAACTTTTCAAAAATGAAATGTAACATTTCAGGTCTAGCTTTATAAACCCTTGTTATAAATAAAAATATCAAACTTGGGTGTTAGATATGTAAATACATAAGAATAGTGTGGTATGTAAATTGTCCTCTTTAAAACAATTGGATTGCAAATGAAGTTCAGGGTCACCTTGAATTGGGTCTTGTCTCAATTTTTCAAGTAAAAATTTTGAGTTTAATTCAACTATTTAGAACTATTTATTTTTATGTCTACTGTATGAGACAATTACGTGCGTAATTTTTCAATTTTATATACTTACAAATATAACATTTAAATAGTTTGGAAATAAATGAAAAAATCATTAAACAAATATGTTTTTAAAAATAAATGAAAAAAAAATTAAAAATAATAAAAAATAAATTGATACCTAAAAAGCCTTAGAATTTTTTTTATTGACTTTTGTCAATATAATTTAAATTTATTATCATTTATGTATTATATATTATAGGCATTTAATGAAAGTCCATTTAATGTATGAGATGTTTTATCAAAACTTGTGAACTTAATCATATGAAGAAAATAAATTGCACATTAGCATTCATATCAATCAAACAAAACTCATGAATATTTATGTGAAATATGCCAGTTTTTTCAGTCTATGTATGGGTTAGAAGTAGGGGTGTAAATGAGCCGAACACAAGCTGCATGAGCGAGCCTAGGCTCGGCTTGTGTTCAGCTCGTTCATATTTCGAGCTCAAGAAGTGTGTTTGTGTTCGGCTCGTTTGATTAGCGAGCCCAACATGAGCCGTTCCACAACCAGTCATTTTGACAACCCAAATCACGTAGTCATAAGATATTAATAATGATTGAGGTAAAGTTTAAAACATTATTTGAATTTAATTTAATAATTTATATTCTATTTTTTTCATTAATATTTTTAATTGATTATAAATCTGTAGCCTTGTAATTAATTAATTTAATTGATTATAAATCTTATGCAGTTATCCTACCATCATTCTAAGAATTATAAATATCGAACTATATCATGTTTAATTTATATTAAATTTATAATGTGTTAAAAAGTCACAAGCCAACAACCCACTAGAGTTGCACAAAATTCTACCCAAACTGAATCCTTATAATTCTCGTTCGCTCATCATGATATGGGTGTGGGTCCCACGAAGTCATCAGTAAAGAAGTGAGGGATGCAATCATGACATGTGTCAACTGACAATAATTTCAATTAAATTAAGGAAAAAAAAGGGTAACGAAAATGACTTTTGGTCCCGGAAATTGGGTCTATGGGAGGGACGACTGTCTTGAGTGGATGATATTGAAAGGGAGGTAAACGAAGAAGAAATCTGCCATCTGCAATAATTAATGATGAGGAATTAGAAAAGCCGGCACAGAATATGAAATGCCCATTCAAACTTCCTTCTAGACTGTTCATGTGATAAGCATCATATAATAATTATGAGTATTTAATCATGTTAAGGTATACCTCATTGATTACGTCAGAGTGACAATCTTTGGTTTTTTTTTTTTTTTTTTTTTTTTTTTTGCCCAACCGCCGCTTCTCAGCGCTTCAAGTTTTTATGAAATTTAAATCTGGATTTTCTTTGTCCGGGGAATATTTCCCTCACCGTAACTGACGAATATTTCATCCTGCAGCAAGAATAAAAAAGGTAATCAAGACATCATAATTGACATGAATCTCAAAGTAATCGAGCGTTTCAAGATGGTGACTAGATAATCGAGGCATCGAGCCACAAGAATGTGATCCAAGTCGATTTTTCAATGACCGAAACCTCACTGGGAGCCACCTGCGTATTATGGTGAGGAATTCAAGCGGCGGGCCACGCCTACTTTCTCGAGCAGTTTAAGTTTTTCACAAGTGCGCTTGACAACAGCATATCGGCCGACCGAACTTTTACTTCTGCAGACACGATCGTCATTCGATTGGTCGCCTCGATCGACTGAATTTAAGCGCGTCAACCAGCTGGTTGCCACCACATTTGAATTCAAATTGTGATATAAATTTGACAACAAATCCTCACTATTAATTTACATGAAGGACTGTTTCCATAATCGTTTCCTCCTTCTTGTAACCGTGCAAATATACCTCTATAAATAGGAGGTAAAATTGCGAATCAAAAGACCTCTCTCTATTTCTCTATAGTGATTTTCTCAATTACTTTACTTTCTCTCTCTCATTCTCCTTCTCCTGACTTTAACTCTCAAGGTGAGTTTCACAAATGACAATTCATGATTCAATATCTTGAAAGGTAGTGTGATAAGCATGGACATGTCACATGCTAGAAGCGGAGCCAACTCCAAAGAAGAATCCTTGTGTAGAGAAACAACGACCATAGAGTTCAACAGAGAGACGATGCTCCACGACATACAAAAATAGGTTCAAGCATTGCAAACACAAATAATGGACCAATTTGGGGCTCTTCGGGCAGTCATAATTCTGCTGAGCGCTCGACTGCCTCCCATGGATGGAGAGTCATGGGGAACCAGTCCCCAGAAGGCTCCCCTTGGCAGTTCGCTAGTGCCCCCATGGTTGGTCCGACGACCGACCAACCGAGGTACTAGAAGATTCCCAACCGACAGATAACACTGCATCTATGAATTGGTCCCACGTCGGATGGACCAAGAGGGAAAGTTTGCTCGACCAGTTATGGGTAGCGTCTTCTCCCGAAAGATTTTGGAAACAATACCCTTGAAGAAGCTCAGGATTCCCCACTTTGACTCCTACAAAGGAATGAGTGACCCGACGGATCACCTTGCTTCTTTTGAGTCACCGATCGGGGTTTTGCAGATCTCAGATAATTAAAGAAAAGTAGGAGCAGACACCTCAACTTCTTACTTAGAATACCCTGAAAATGGAAAAAAAAATATATAAGGTGACTCAATTGAAATAATCTATTATGAATGGTGAGTACATATGTTCAATCTTCTCCCAAATTAGAAAATATGGAGTTACAAAGATGATAAGTGTAAATGTACAATAATAGTTCATTGATAATAATCATAGTCTAACTGTAATGAATATAATTCTTAGTGATAGTAGGTTATAAGGGCCGTTATTGAAAATGGAGGCAGTAGCCTGATTTGAATGTTGTAGATGATGGTTGTTGTGTCAACTTGTCATATAGGTCATAGTTGAAAGTTATGGTAGTACTTGGTCATGTTAGCCACAAAAGGTTTCTACACAAGCGTCGGTTGGCTACATAGATCATAGTAGGAAGTTAGAGAAGTTGTGTACCACATAGGCCATAGTTGTCCACATAGGCCGTAGTGGTTAGCTTTGAAGATGTTCGTAGATTGCAGAGGCAAAAGTTGAGTGATGCACAAGTTGTGGGCTATATTGCAGTGATTGGTCACGTAAGATAGAGTGGTGATGTCTGTAAGTTGCAAAGACCAAAGTCGGGAGCTGCACGAGTTATGTGCCATGTAGATAGTAATTGGTCAAATAGGTAGCAGTGGTGAGCCATGCAGGGTCTAAAGGACTTAAGGGCTGGATTCAGAAGCTGCACAATTTGTGGCCCACGTAGCCCATAGTTGGATATGAGCTATAATTATAAGCTTTGATGAACTCTGTAGACCAAAAAAGCTAGAGTTGAGAGTTGCAAGGGATTGAAGTTATGTAGCCGCAATTAGTTATGGCCATAACAATGATCTATGATGATGCTCGTAAGCCATAGAGGCGAGAGTCATAAATACAAAGAGAGAACTTCCAAAGTCTGAAGAAAGTCATCATGTTCAAGGTGCATTGTTACACCTTTTTTGTGAGGAGTTGTTGCCTCATATGTGGGGTGTTTATTTGCACCATCATCGGGGTTTCTCGTTACACCATATTAGAGTGCATTGTTACACCATCCTTGTGGAGCATTGTTGTATGGTGTACTAAATGATGTATTGTTCTATCAGATGCTTCTCTGATTCGCAACGCACGTTGGGATTCCATAATGCACATTGTAACTACGTAAGGGATTTTACTGCAATAACAGGTGTCGATTGATGGTGGTTGGCCATGGTAGGCAGGTAGTGGTCGATGCAATGGTCGATGGTGATCAGTGGCTGCAAGAGCCGGAGGAATTCATTGGTTCTTCTATGTAGAATATTGTACTTCAACCTCTACTTCTCCATACTCAAGTCTTCCTTTGGCTCAGTGTCTAGATTCTCCTCTCAAAAGGGGGTAAGAATCTATTTATAGAGCCTGAGGGAGACTCCTCTGCAAATAAGAATAGAATCTAGGCCATTACATCAGACGGCCCGGAGAGTTTCCCTTTATCAGATGGTGTTCAGTGGACCTTTAATTGTCTTAATGATGTCAAAATTGAGCGATCCTTAGCTCGTTCAATTTATCTTGTCGAGACGCTCGATTTGACTTTAAGTTTGACTAATTTAAAATTCATTTGACTTTAAGTTTGACTAATCCAAGAAGTTGTTTAATGGTTTGATCTAGGCTTAAATATTTGAGTCGGATTGGACCAATTTTCTTATTGTTGGGTTCATCTCATTAAATCGACCAGTTTGACTATATTTTTGTTGAAATCAAAGTTTTGTATGATTTTTAATAGAGTTTTGAATGTTACTTGCACAAAAATTACCTTGAGATTTGTGCTTTACCTTGAGATCCATGCTTGATGAAGGAAACTAATTGATGACATATCAAAATTGAATAATTAAATTTTTATCTTATACACTCAAAAATGATCTGTTTGAATCTCTAGACAATATAGCAGTCTAGATTAAAAGAAATAAAACAATATACATCCCTATGATGAAAGCTACAAGTATTCATGAAGCTGATCGGTGGAAGAATAGCCAGTTGACTGTAGGAGTGTCGAATGCCTGAAGGCTAGTCAAACAACCAAAAGGTCAC